TCATTGTCATTTGATATTTGTCAGCTATGTTCACTCTGTAAACGACCTGGGATCGAACTGAGTACCTTCAGGTTTTGTAATGATGGCGTTATTCATCCATTACACAACTACTTATGTCTATTAATTTCGATCTTTTATTAGTACTAATGTTACTAAATATTATTCTACATTATATATGTATTTACAATATTTTTATTTAGTCTTTTGAGGCTACTTACATCATTGATGATGTTTATTTTCTTTTACATTTTGACCGACTTGTTAGTAGATGACATGAATTTAATGAAATAAACTGAACTCCTTGTTATTCTACTAAAAACTTTGTTCTTACTCTTTACAGGTAGATGAGGAAAACAATGTCTATGAAGCTTATATTAAGCATTAAGAAGACTATTGAAGTTTAGTAAAGACTTTTAGTATCCGAATGTGTCCTGAGTTCGAATCCCGCGAGGCAGAGCCTTGGTTGCGAACTACTGAGAGATCCCAAAATAGAATGAAATGGTCTTTCTGTGCTTTCAACTTCTTCATGGTGGTCTGGCTTCAGTTGTTTCGTGATCTCAACTATTAAAATTTTTGATTGTGAAAATGGGTTATTCTTGAAATTGAATAGAATTGTGTGATTAGGAACGATATGGAAAAGAAATAGGTCAGCTAAAGGTTCAAACAACAATAATAATAACAACGTAGTCTGTAGAATAAAATGATTACTTGCTTACTTATGCCTGTTACTCCTCGTCGAGGAGCACAAGCCGCCCACAAGAACACTCCATCCAACTCTGTTCTAGGCAATCCTTTCCAGTTGTTTCCAGTTGTTATTCATCCTTTTCATATCTGATTCTATTTCTCGACATAGTGCTTTCTTTGGCCTTCCTCTTTTCCGCTTCCCTTCAGGATTTCAATGTGGGGCTTACCTCGTGATTCTGTTTGGTGATTTCTGTAATGTGTGTTCTCACCATTTCCATAATCTTTTCCTAAGTTCCTTCCCAGATGGAAGCTGATTTGTTCGAGTAAAATGAATGCATCATTCTATTTCACAGATTCTCATCAGCTACATACAACCTGAAACTATAATGATTAGTCTGATTATTGACAAATGTTTGACATAATTTAGTTTGTGAACTTTAAGTAAATGTTCAAAACGTAACCAAAATCATAATAATAAGGAATAATAAGAATACAAAGTGTATGAATAAACATGGTTAAGATTAAGGTTGGACTTGATTGTTTCAAATCATATTGATCAATGAGTAAGGAATTAATAATGAATAGTTGAATTTATGAGTTAATTAATTAGTTGAAGTTAGATATTAACACCTTTGGATGCCAGCTCAGTGATCTAGAGGTTAAATGTTCGTTCCCGAGACCACAGGTCCCGGGTTCGAGTCCCATGTGCAAGGTCATGGATGCGCACTTCTGGGGAATCTCACACTAGAACGAAACAGACATCCAGTGCTTTCAGGTTTTCAATGATGGATTAGCTTAAATCGACTCATGGATTCAACTATTGAATATTATTTTTATTATATCCCAATCTGAAGAAGTGGCCTGCATGAAGTCACGAAACGTCGAAAATAAAATTCTTTTACCCATTAGAATATAACAAAAATATATTTATTATAATCAATATATAATTAAGAGGTTATCTAAGAGTAATGAATTTAATAAGCCATTGGGTAATCGCTCAACATGATTAAATAAATAAATTAGTGGAAATCAATCAGATTATGTAAGAGATGAATATCAGAAGGAGAAAGAACAGTAGAATAATAAAAGGTTAGGGACAAGGTTGAAAAGAAAAATGTTTAAAATTAACAAAGGTTACTAGAGAAATATCAAGTCGTTATGGTAGAGAAAAGTTAATCAAACTTTTCCTGTATATACACAGATCATGTCAGAAATGTCTGATAACGATCGTCTTTGCAAAACGGAGTGAAATTGATGCTTTGTATCTGTTGATTGTTTTGAATGCATCACGTATATTCACTTGATATCCTCTATACACATGTTTGTCAATAGCACTTGCAAAGATTTTACTACCTTTTAGCCATAGTTTCATAGGAATATGTTCATCAAATTTTGTAGAGCCTCTACTCTATGTCCTTTCTACTTACCCGCTACCGCAGGTACATGTAAATTCACAAATGCAATTGAAGGTGACATCGGAAGAATTTTGATCTATTCACAATTGATTGATCACTGTGTGGTGATCAATGTCATGTGTGTCAACTCATTCTTAGTGCAGATCAAATGCTATCGATCATGTTGCAATATGGCCACTAGTCTAGGTAACTCGACATTGCGTGCACTATGCTGAGATAGAATGGCGGTTGAAGGCAGCCAACAGGTCCACCCAGTGATCAATCAATTCTGAATACATCTCAGTCCTACAGGAGGTCATTCACGGCCCGGATAGCTCAGTGGTAATGTCTCTGACTGTGAAGCTGAGTGACACGGGATAGAATCCGTCAGAGAGAACCAGTTCCCTTAAGATTTCAGGTAAACCTTGATAACGAGTGCCAAATAGCACGAAATCTGGGTCCAGGGTTTCCTGTTGACTACCCCAAACCACCATTCTATCTCAGTATTGATCTATCTTTGAATGGTATGATGAGCACTTAGTGTTGAATCGTGAAACCGGTTGAACGGTAGGGAATATTCTTTTAAGTGCTTCCTTCACTCTTCCATAGATTCTTCCTGAAATCTCATCCCCGTTGATTACTTCTTTCATATTCCATTGTAAATCTTGTGTCGGAAGTGATTAAGTAACTAAGAAGCGTGGTCTACATCATCACAGATAGTAAACGCATCATCATATCTAGATATTATGGTGTTATGTTCTAGATTTTGTGTTTTAGTTTCGTTTGTTCTAAGTTAGCTATGAAGATATCGGCCAAGATAGATCCTATTGGTGATCCCATGACCTCTCCGTCGGTTTGTTTATATGGTTGATAGTTGGATTGGGGAAAAACTGTTTATGCAAAGGAAGTAATTCAAATTAGTCACAAATTATATGAATACTTTCTTCTAATGGTATATTCGTAAATAATGAAGGCATATCAAAAGATACTATGAAAGTATCAGATATGTTCAACTGATCCATTTCTTTGGAAAGCTGAACTGCGTTGCCATTTTTTACAAATTCGTTCTAATAATTTGGCTAACTACATAGCCAACTAATGATATGGTGAGTTCACTGTAGACATTATCACCATAGTTATTATCTGGTATTTTTGCGAGTGTACATCTTGAAGAATAAAATTGCCTAAAAAGAAGAATTTATCATTGAATCAATTACTCTTGTCTCATAACTGAATGGGTATTGTGATTGAACCGAAGATGTTCAATCCAGTAGGTAACTTTCAAATCGTGAGCAATAAAAAGAACACCAGTCGAAGAAAGTTCCATCATTTTTCTCTCAAGCCAGATGCAGCTTAAATCCCTATCCCCCCCCCTACTTCATCCAGTCAGCTAAACAGCATTATTAACCCTCACAGTGTAGTTAAAAGATGATTACTTGAACTGGTACTTAATAAATGAATTACATCATACTTGCTATGCACGATTATTAAGTGATGCTAAACCATAATTACGTTAGCTACTTAAGATACTGTCGACTGCTTTCGGCCAATGTACCGAAAATTAATGTGTTTCAAGGTATCAGTGCTAAGGTTTGACTTAATAGTTTTAAATAAATTGAGCAATGGGTAGAAGGTCAGACATGTGATGGCATTTGAAGCGAATGGCACTGTGTTCTCGTTTCAGAGTGAACATCAGCTCTAAGATGCAGGTACATCCAGCTGATGAGTCCCGAATAAGCATCCTGGATTCCACTGCTAGCCACTATCCATCCAAACAATGAAGTGTTTAGTTGAAGGTTCCACATTAAACAGTCAAAAAAGGAATGCTTAGATCAAACATTTTCTCGATCAATTATTAATCTATTCATATTCGATAGTTGAAAAATCTATTAATATTATCTGGGATTCGTAGCCTTTTGAAAGCAGATACATCAGTTCCCTAATCGAGAGTCACATTTGAAAAATCCCAGCATACAACATTATCAAACCTTAGGGAAAAAACGCGCTATTATAGCTAGATAACTCTTCATGTATGATTCTAGTGTTCGTTCAGTTCATTATTCATGCTCTTCTGAATCCACTAAATATCAATTCAGCATTTCTTACTTATTTACACCTGTTACTCCCAATGGAGCATAAACCGCCAACCAGCATTCTCTAACCCACTCTGTCCTGGGTCTTCCTTACCAGTTCTATCCAATTGTTGTTCATTCATCTCATGTCTGTCTCTGTTTCTTGGAGTAATGTGTTCTTTGGTCTTCCTCTTTTCCTTTAGCCAGGAGGATTCCATGTGAGGGCTTGCCTTGTGATGTAGTTGGATGCTTTCCTCAATATGTGTTCTATGCTACTTCCAACACTTCTTTCTGATTTCTTCCTCCACTGGAATCTGGTTTGCTCTCTCCCACATTAGTTTGTTGTTGATAGTGTCCGGCCAACGGATCCGAATTATTTTGCGTAGACAACTGTTAATAAACACAGTATTCCTATTGATGTTCATATATTGATTTATCTATATAGTTCTAATTCTAATGTGATTTAATCAATTTATCACATTCAACACTTTAAATGATGATATTTCTATAGTCAACCGGGAAATAAGAGATTATTTGTCTTCAATTACTAGTAAATTCATTTTAATTAGTTCAAGAGAATCTATTCTTCCTATTCATTTCCACTCTCCCTCTCTCCCTGTCTTTATCCCTTTGTCTCTTAGTCTATAGACTATGGATGATATCATGTTGAAATCACATGATGATAAACAAAGACTAAATGTTTTTGGGATAAATAACTTTTTATATAATACTAAATACATCTATTACAATTGGTCAATAGACTAATAAAAGATAAACATCTTGTCACTTTCAAATGTCCTTGATATGATGTTTTAAAAGGTTTATTTATTGATTCATAATGTAATAAAACCTAAAGAAAGAAAGAGAGAAAGAAAGGAAGAGAGGTAGTAGTAGTAGTAGTAGTAGTAGTAGTAGTAGTAGTAGTAGTAGTAGTAGTAGTAGTAGTAGTAGTAGTAGTAGTAGTAGTAGTAGTAGTAGTAGTAGTAGTAGTAGTAGTAGTAGTAGTAGTAGTAGTAGTAGTAGTAGTAGTAGTAGTAGTAGTAGTAGTAGTAGTAGTAGTAGTAGTAGTAGTAGTAGTAGTAGTAGTAGTAGTAGTAGTAGTAGTAGTAGTAGTAGTAGTAGTAGTAGTAGTAGTAGTAGTAGTAGTAGTAGTAGTAGTAGTAGTAGTAGTAGTAGTAGTAGTAGTAGTAGTAGTAGTAGTAGTAGTAGTAGTAGTAGTAGTAGTAGTAGTAGTAGTAGTAGTAGTAGTAGTAGTAGTAGTAGTAGTAGTAGTAGTAGTAGTAGTAGTAGTAGTAGTAGTAGTAGTAGTAGTGACTGTAATACAATGTCTTTTTGTCATGAAAATCTAATGTTAGAAATCGCCTTTATTACAAAAGCATTAAATTATCAATAAAGTATGCGTTTTTATGATCTTTAATGAAGCATCCGTGAATCATAATTCATCCCATATTGGAATAGTATTCTATTTGTTTTGTATGCGATCGTATTAAGTTAGTACAGTAACTTTACAATTTCATTCTTGTCTTTCCTTACTTTTCATATTCCATTAGAATCAATGATTTTTCTCCTATTGTAATGAACACTTGTAATATAAATTCATTTGGTATTGTTGTTTACTTGATACTTCCCATTGATGTTTCGGACTACAATAGATCAGTCACTTATTGGAATATGTGCATACTGTGCGAACTGCCTCGTTCTTGCTACTAAGTCACAAGCATTATAAGTAAAGATGGATGTTGACTAGTAGGAGGAAACGCTCGTCCTGAATTCCAGTGCTAATCACTATTCATACTTGTAACTTAAGTTTTTTATAATTCTGTCATAGTAGTCAAGTAGTATATTCAACTATTCAGCACAAATCAACAAAATATCTTCTACTCTTAATTTGTACAACTAGATGATGTGTAAGTAATTCCCGTCACCAGCTAGCAACTCTGACAATTATTTAAGTCACAGTATCAGACTTTTCAACAGTACACATCAATAATCGTAGGCTGAGTTGAACCTAAAGACTTTACGCGACATAGAATGAATAATTCTTTCAAGGTATTGAATTAGAACTCAGCAATCTTGATTTCAACTTTCGTTAATTTTACGATTTACCCTTGAGGTGTTTACTACTGATCTCGACAGATATAAGTAGTATGTATCAATCGAAAATGAAATGTCTGGTGACGAAAGGTTAATCAGACCGAGGAAAAGAGAACGAGAACAGAGAATGATTAATGTCAAAATGAAGGAACAATAAAGTTAATTGATTGACATTTCGCAATTGAAGTATTTACCGTATAGTTCTCAGATGTTCTGTAATTTTGTGTTCATTTACATTCAGCCGTCCCCATTTGCGTGTTATCATTCACTACATCCTGATGATCATCCATTATAGTCAATGAATCAGTATCTTATTCCCAAATTAACCAAACGGACAAATATCAAAGTTAGTCACATGTCAGTATATCGTTATCATTATGTTATATAATACAGCTTACATTTGATAGATATGTTTCATAAACTGGGAAATCCATAGAATCTATGAAACATTGAACAGATATCTTCTTGTAAGTTGATAAGCTTCAACAGATCACAGCTCCATCACTTTACAGAGATTTATTTACAACATTGATGTCACAGGCTTAAATGATCTCTTCACATGCCATTTTATTATTTTAATCAAAGAATATAGTCACGAGTCAATTGAAGCTAGACTACCATGGAAAACCTGGAAGCACTGGACGGCCGTTTCTTCATAGTATGGGAATACCTCAGCAGTGCGCATTTGCGATCCTATGCATATATTCATTCTGCTAACCTTACTATTAGTCGCTTAATTGATTCGATGATTCATTGATTTCACTATGTATATATATGTACATTTTGATCGTGTTTGTTGACTCGCTCATTCAACTCCCGCGCTGACTCGCTTGCCTGATTGCTTTAAGGCTCTACTCTTTCATGCTTGTTTAACGTACCTGTAATTTTTGCTATCTGTGTGTGATGTAAGAATAAACTTAGTCAAAACTTTGTATTCTCATTCTGATGAATACACTGTTGGGTCGTTATCTAGTGACGGTTATCAGGATGAACTATATACGAAGTCTAAAAATTCTATTGAATACCGACCATCCCAACGATTTATTCATGAATCAATCAATGAACTAAAATCAATTTTCTTTTAAAAATAATCAAAATGATATGAAAAAGTACAATGATACCAATGTGTTGCTATCCATACCATTTCAATGCATTAAACTATCAATAGTTGGCAATCATATATGTACATCATTTACGAAATCGATAAATTAACTCATTTAAATAATAAAGATATTATCAGATTATTGATTTATAATTTTTGCTTGTTCTCTACTTATTTACTTACGTCGATTACCCCTTTTAGATGAGAATAGGCCACTCACCAGCACTCTCTATCCAACTGTGTCCTGAACAATCCTTTTCAGTTGCTATTCATTCTTTTCATGTCTACTTCTAATTCCCGACGTAATGTGTTCTTTGGTCGTCCTCTTTTCTGCTTCTCTTCAGGATTTCAATATAACTCTTGCCTCGTGATACAGTTTGATGATTTCCGTAATTCATGTTCTATCCACTTCCAACGATTTTTTCTTAATTTACTCCTCAGCTGGAATTTGGTTTGTTCTCTCCCACAGTAGGTTGCTGCTGGTTGTATCCATTCAACGAACATTCAATATCTTGCGTAGACAGTCGTTCATAGACAGTCGTAATATTTTGATGATGGTCAACGTAGTCCTCTACATTTCAGTTCAGTACAGTAAAACTGTCCTGACGTTCGTATTGAAGATGGTGACTTTGATGTTGGCTTGCAGACAGTTGTCTTAAGTTCCATATGTTTTTTTATTTTAACACATAGATATTGGTACAAGGAGGCACCAAATACATATGCATCACACAAATCTCATTTGATAAGTGTGGGGGGGGGTGATACTGCTTGGGTGCCCAAACCGAAGCAGGTAGTTTTCTTAGGGGGCCACTCCCCGAGCCTTCGACCTGAAGGTCTGGTCCACAAGGCAGTGGAGTATCGTAAGGAGATGCAATCGTATGGTAACCGGTGACCAACAATATGTTCATACATCATTTGTTCCCTCAGCATCCTGGAGCCCATGTGCACCACTGGTTTGGAATCAAGGTTTTCCAAATCCCCTAGACGGATTCTCCGGATCTACCAACTTGATTAATGCGTCAGACATTCTCCTTTCGTCCTCTCAATTTCGTAAACAACACCCCCTTCACGAGAAGGCAATGAGTAGCACTTCCCTGGAAGAGGCTATATACACTTTATTCAATATAGAATTCTCAGTACAAAGTATTTCAATGAGTTTTATATTCCTTACTTCTTGATCGATCTTGACGATAACATATTGATTGATCGTCAGTTAGAAGTTAGTAGATTAATTAGTCGACATCTAAATCATGTAGATTCTTTTTGTTGCAGATTTCTAGCAACTATGATATATCTGATTGAGATCTTTTTTAAACTTGTCCAACGAAAGGTTAGCGATGTTAGATCCTTAGAATTCACTTAGTAACTACCATATTATAGTAATTTTATTCTTGGAAATTCGGATTTCTTGTTTTCGCACCAAAAGTGCTTATTTTTACTTACATGTCATATTTTCCACTTGGAAGGAACTTAAACGCTATTGATTGGTTGTATCTTTTAGTATGTTATTTTGTAATATATATGCGTTTGAATTGTGCTCATTGTTCCTGTTCGTGCTTCTGGCTACGTGTGGAATATATTTCCCTCTTCTAAATCTGAACTTCTCTCTCTAGTCAGCGAGGCTGTGGCGCGTCGGAATAGCTAGATTTTTGGTCTTTGGTCACAGAATCTTCGTTCCATTCTTAGATTAGGTGAACTCGTAATCTCTTTAAACACATCAGAAACGCACGTGAATAGGTTATGCGATTAACAGCCAATAATGATGTATTAACACAAACAAAATTAGATAACTTGTTGAAATATCTAGCTGACAGGGTAAGGTAGACCAGATGTTCAATCAGGCTGCCAATATTATTATTTAGGCATTTCTATTTCATACACATAATTCCCTTTATTATTTTAAAGAGAGTAAGAACAAAGATTGGTGCAGAATAATAAATGGTTTCATTTTTTAGTTCGTTAGGTTCTCATCAGCTGCTTACAACCTAAAATATTTGAAATTCAACGTTATTATAGATATTGACATACTTATACAACAGATGGCGATGAAGGATGAATATATGTAACATAATGTGGTAAAGATTTCGTTAGAGTGATTGAGGTCATAAAAGTTTTTTGTTTCGAATATATAGAGTTTGGGAGGGAAGGTTCCAGAAAATTGAAATAGTGATTAGAACTCATGGAATTAAAAACGCCTATTAGATTATTATGTAATGAAGTGACTGAAAATAGATCAATGTTAATAAAGAGAGATATGAATTGAAATTGGTCAGTTATGAGTGATGTAATTATAAAATACAGAAAGAGTTGAAATGACGTAATAAAAATAAAAGGGGGTGGGTGAATGTTACCAGGGTAAAGAAAGATTTATTACTGTTTCTTTTTGTATACAAAGATCTGGTTTTAAACGTTTGATTGCTATTGCTTCCGCGAATTTCAAAAGGTTTGAATTTGATTGTTTGTTGATCACCTTGAAGGACTTCAGTATATCGACTTCGTGTCCTGTGTCAATGAGATGTCTTGCGACAGCGCTGCTAAATGCTTTTAGTCCGTTTGATCTCAAACTCTTCGGAATATGTTCTTTGAATCGGACGTAGGCTCTCCTTTCTGTTCTACCAATGTAACTGCTTTGGCAGATACATGTAAATTTGTATACACAGTTGGTGGTAACATGAAAGGGATACCTGTCGACCTTTGATTGTGTCAAAGAACATGTCGTTTTGGATAGGACAATCAATTTAGCTGCAGGATATGTTTTTGTCAGTGCAGTTTTTAGTCTCATATTGATCGATCCTGTGACATTATTGCCTTTGAATTGAAGTTGAATAAAAACAGGTTTTTTATTTACTGTAGTTTTTTTGGGTATTTTATCTTCACGTTTTCCATATTTCTCAATGAATTTCAATGGGTATCCGTTATTTCTTAAACACTTTTTAACATTCATAATTTCCTCTTCTATTGTATCGGCAGTGCATATTCTTTCTGTCCTATGAAACAGTGTTTTAACAAGCGCCTTTTTATAATTGATTGGACAAAAGCTGTTGAAATTGAGATAACTACCATTCCATGTGTCTTTCTTATAAACTGAGCGTTGAACTGTGCCATCCTTTCTTCGTTTTATCGCTATATCGAGGAAATGGAAC